GGTCGGGTTCGGGATCCCGACAAAACCAACCCGAGTTGGCCCTGACCCGAGTTACCCCGGATGGTTCGGGGCTCTGGACGCCCGAACTATCCGGGGTAACTCGGGTCTGGGATAGGTCGGGTTCGGGATCCCGACAAAACCAACCCGAGTTGGCCCTGACCCGAGTTACCCCGGATGGTTCGGGGCTCTGGACGCCCGAACTATCCAGGGTAACTCGGGTCCGGGGTAAGTCGGGTTCGGGATCCCGACAAAACCAACCCGGGTTAGCCCTGGCCCGAGTTACCCCGGATGGTTCGGGGCTCTGGACTGGACGCCCGAATTATCCGGGGTAAGTCGGGTACGGGGTAAGTCGGGTTCGGAATCCCGAAAAACGAATCCGAGTTAACCCTGGCCCGAGTTACCCTTGATGATTCGGGGCTCTGGACGCCCGAATTATCCGGGGTAAGTCGGGTCCGGGGTAAGTCGGGTTCGGAATCCCGAAAAACGAGCCCGAGTTAACCCTGACCCGAGTTACCCCTGATGATTCGGGGCTCTGAACATCGTCACTGCTGCTGGGCGTGAGGGGCGGGGCATTCTCGACGCTGTGGTCACCATGGTCCGCCAGCCGGTCGGCAACCATGCCTCCGCAGATGAGGTCGGCAGCGTCATCGGGGTCGAGGGGCGTGTGCCCAAGTAGCGAAAGGAGACTTGGTGAAGGAAGGTAGCGACGGTGGGGGAGTGGGGCCCGGGCTGCATGATCGCCTGGTGTAGGTCGTTGGGCGCGCTAGCTGGTCGGATCAGGTGCCAGGCCAGAGCCACCGCTGTGCAACAAGACCAGAGGTGCTCGTTACTAGCCTCCCCGGCACCGCAGAGTGGGCAGCAGCCGTAGGGGCTTGGCTCGATAGGGACATTGGGGGCGGCAGTCCGATGCTGTTGCTGTGCCTCTGTCCATACAGCGGCGAAGCGGTCAGGGATGCACTCCCGGGGGAGTAGTTGCCATTTCGGTGCATCACACCAGGTGCAAAAGCATCGAGCGCACCAAGTAACCCCTTCGGATGTGGTAGAGGTATGCCAGAAATGCTTGCCGGTGCATCCACACCCCAGGCACAGATGCGGTCTCATATTGTCATTGTCCCGCCACCTCGCGTGTCCCGGGAGACCGTTGGCAAAGAACCGCAGAACGTGGAACGCCATGGTGAAGCACCGAGCGTGCTGCAGAATCGACCGTTCCTGCCCAGTGCCTGGGGCCCGCCGGCGGCGTACGCTGGCTGCGCGGAGCCACCGTATGAACTCGTCTTTCTGCTGTTGTGCGCAGGCGGCTGTGTACACAGCTCTGCCGAATCCGCCAGTCTTGGGGAGATCCGGTCTGACGATGTGTTTCCCAAGCACCGCAGCGGCTTTTCCGAGGTCTTTGTGTGGGAGCCAGTTCGCCGATGCGGGTCAGCGCTCCAGTGCCTCTGCGCCCATCGTGTGAGCTCGTTCCACCTGGTGAACGCTCTCCGTTGCGCCACCCCCAGACACACACACACACACACACGCACGCACGCACGCACGCACACACACACACACACACACACACACACACGCACGCACACACACACACACACACACACACACACGGATACATCATATGAAACAAATACGAAAAAAAGCTCGAAGATTGAAGGGATGCCGGTAAGGTAGGGATATACGACTAAGCATGCAGGGATAGGGACAAACGGGTAAGGATAATTAAGGATCGGAATGGGATTGGGGGTATCATATAAGTTAAACATGATCGGGATAGAGGGCTATGGATAGGGATAGGGCGGGAACGGCAGGTAATGGGAGACAAAGCGAGACAACAGGAGACATTCGGGGCAGTGATATAGGACGAGTGATAAAAGGGACAGAAGCATGGGAGAAAAGGCTAGGGATCGGGATGGGGATGGGGATGTAGGACAGGGGCTATAGGGATAGAGATAGGAATAGAGGGCTAGAGGTATATGGATGGGGATACAAAGCGACAACGGGAGACAATGGGAGACAGCGTGTGACACGGGCGCCCCACCGATTCCAGGCCTGGCGATCCCCATACTCGGTTTCTCCACAAACGTTCTAGATCTCACCCTTGCAGACAGGCTGCCCAGCGAAATAAGCTGCACGGGATGCTGCTTCGTTCGGCGGTCGCGAAAGGGGCACATGGAACAAACGAACAAACACACACACATACACACACAAATCCTAGGATGCCCCGTCTTTGCACACATTTTCTGGATGGTCGTCCTCCTCCCCACTTCCCGTATCTCCCCACCTGTTCCTCGGAGTCGACGATTACTCCAGTTTTCGTAATAAAAGGGAGGGGGTCTCATTTCGGGGGGGGGGCTCTTCCAAGCTATCTTGGAGGGCCTGGGGTAGGGAGCCCACAAAAGACGTACGCGCCCAGCTATGTACATGACCACGGCCCCTCGATCCGCGAGACCGGCCGCGTTATACAAACATTTGCGCAGTGCGTACTCTCGAAACCAGCGTGGATTCATGTACATGTACGTCCTTCTTTCGCTCCTGATGGGGGGGTCTGGGGACGATGTTTTGGAGGGTTCTCCCACGGGGGAGGTCTGAAATGGCTCGTCTTGGAGGATCCAGACCCCCTCCATTTTATTACGAAAGCTGGAGTACTTGTGTCTGTGGGTTTTTCCCCTCCCGAGCCACCTCCAGGACCGTCTCGAGGCACTGGGCCAGGAACATGTCCTCGCCCCACTGGCCGAAGTCCTGCTTCTCCACGCACTGCTTCGGGGCCTTGCCGTCGAAGCTGTCGGCGTAGTCCTTCGCGAGGGCGTCCACGGCCAGCTTGCTCAGGACCTCGATCGGCCCATGCAGCCCATAGCGGCAATTGTTGACGAAACCGTCGCCCTTGTGCTCCGCCAGCACGGCTCCCAGCCGGTCTGGGAAGAAGACGGCATCTGGGTCCACCTTGACGACCCAGTCGTGGTTGGCGTACTCCCCATCCTCGATGAGCTTCTTCCACAGAGCGATGAAGATCCAGGCGTTCAGGGCGGACTGGGAGTCGCCGCCGTACTCGCACTTCAGGTCGCTGTCGATGACGAGCGTTGTGACGCCCGGAGCGAGCTCCATCTTCTGGTTGCTGTAAATGGCAGTCCCATCACAAGCGAAAATGCTTGCCTTGTTGTTGTACTGCCACAGGAGCAGGTTCTCCTCGTCGGTCCCAGGCACCATCAGCGCCACGCAGAACAGAGACCCGCCCGCCCCACCCGTGCCCGAGGGCACCTTGCCCAAGGAACGCCGCGTCGGTGGGAGCCCCGAAACGAGCCCCTGCGACTGCCTGGGGGTGCCCGTGCCCCCCTTGAGCCAGCACTGGCTGGGGCAGCCGTCTGGCAGCCCAGCGTCCTTCACCCAGGTAAAGGCTTTGCACCTGGGCTCGCCTTGGCACATTGCGCAGCACATCTCGGCAGTCGGGATGTGATCGTAGTTCGTGCCCCAGCCGCTCACTTCATCAACGTACTCGACGTCCACCTCTGTCTTGCCGCAGGAGCTCTCGAACTCCTCCTCCATGGTGGCAGCCTTCAGCTGCAGCTCCTTGGCGGCGGCCATGTGCCTCAACTGCCGCCCTCGCACGGTGGCGGATCCGACTATGGACGCCACGAGCACCGACACCAGGATGGCGGCCGGCAGCACCCTGTGGCTCTCGGAGAGGAGCCCGGACACCACTGTGCGCGCCCTGCCGCTGCTGGTGGTGCACGTTCGCGCACCCCCACCGTGCTCTCCCAGGAGCGCCACGGCCACGGCCTCGGAGTCCCGAGGCGCACGAACGGGAGAGTACAGCGCGGGAGAGCCGCCAGGGGTGTCTGCAGGCCGGCCGCTCGCGACCATGGCCCCGCGGGAGGCTCTCTGGCCAACTTCTCTTGGAGACCCCCCCGCGTGCGCGGCCGAGCCTGCAGCAGGAGCACACCTCTGCACAGCCACTCGAGCCAGTATGGCTCTGAGCGCGGCTGGTCCGGAAGACCACAATCATCACCGAATGCTTCAACGATAGTGGCCATGGAAGCTCCGAGCGACAGATCTGCTGCTTGCGAATGACTGGGCGCTGGACGAATTCCATGTTCGGAGTGTTCGAAAGAGTGGCTGCCCCGTGGATTCTGGAGATGGTAATCTGAAAAACGAACAAAGGTGCTACAGAGTCTGATAGGAACAACTGCTTCACGGGTAAAATACATCATGATTCGATGATTAGCAAAAAGCTGAAACAGAAAGCGGGCTTCAGAAAACTAGATTACGCAGTCTGTCACGAACTGGAGCATTGGAGGTTGCGAGTGACCGATGGACTCATTGGCAGTAGCTTGTGGGCTTACAGCAACCGCTGGTTCATTCCAGGTGGCCCCGGAAGAGGAGGGAAACTGGGCGTTTCCACAGCTTCGGCCTCGAAGAATACAAGACGCATGTGCAAGCTGTTTCCCAAACAGTGCTTGCACTGGAGGGTTCGCAATTGCGGTGTGAAAGAAATGGCCATGCCTATCGCACTTGACGACGGCTGCTTGGACTCCATGGCTTCCCGCCCCGGTGGCCCTACACATCGCATTTTTCGGTGGCTGCTTAGCGGCTGCTTTGATTCCTGTGGAGTCTCAACCCACTGGCCCTGCCTGTTGCACTTTTCTGTTTTTTCACCACGCGTAGGACTCCGCTTGCGCGGGATTACAAACACATAGAGTTACACGCACGTTGAGTTCCCCCACACAAACAAACACACACTTGGGGTCCACACACACACACACCCATGAATTCACAGAGACACACACATGACGCTCCACGCACAGGAAATTCCACACAAGTTGAGGCCACGCTTGTTGTACGAATGAACTGCTTGGGGACCACGCCCTGGCATTGCTTCTGAAACGCAGCATGGCATGGAAGCTTCATGAGATCGATTTTGATGGAGAGCGGCCCAGAGGCTGAAAACTGCTTGAGGGCTGTTTCCTAGCTGGTGGCATTGGGACATTTGCAAATGAATGTTCAGAGAAAGCGACTGCCAGAAAGTATGAAACAAAAAACGCCGAATGCTTCGGGAGGCGGGGTGCTTTCACAACATTTGTTCACACCACTGCTAATCCCCATCAGTACGGTTACGGGTATGGATGGGCCCCAATGCAGGAAAGGGAATCTGAAAAAAACGCCCGAGTCGTATCTGATTGTTCCATGTAATGAAGCATGGCCGCCCCTTCCAAAACGCTCGAGGGAGGACGTCCATTTCTTGCACCCAATGCGCGCAGAGCATCAAACAAAGCTCTGCGCCCGCTCAAAAATTATGAAGGCCCAACGCAAGCTTGCTCTTTCGTGCCTGAAACACCGGCACTTGGAGTCCGATGATCGGGCGGGGTAAGGTAGCAGCATTGCCGATTCCCGCATAAACATAATGCGATTCCGACGTGGAGTCAGGGCCCTGTCCCCGCTGGCTCCCTCAGCGAACCTCGTGCAGCGTTGTACACAAAATGAAGGCCTCACGCGCCCGTAAGTTCAAAACACGATGGCACAAATCGCTTGCACATGTTAACCTTCCTCCCAGATGGTCAAACGTCGTCGCGCCACCGTTCTCTCTTGCACGCCGCAAATACCTCCCTCACACGTTCACTTATTCGAGAGTTCCTCCCCGCATGCTTTCCTCAAGGTGACTCAGAGTCGTCGAAAACTCAAACGTCTTTGCACGCCGCGCGCGCCCCTCGCTTCCTCCTCACACTCCTCGATCATCTCCATTCCCCGCCTTCTCATGACTCCTGCCATTGTCACGACCGCTGGCCTGGTTCTGTCGTCTCTGGACCCACCGTTCGGGCCAGGCGTGCGCCTGCAGACTACCCGTAAGTCGGGCCTGTCTCCCTACAGAAGGATTCTGGGTGAAAAATCAAAAATATTCAGAAAATGCTTTCAAAATTATCAAAAAATAGTTGGAACATATTGTCCTTAGACTATTGTGTTGGCTGGTTTTGAACATCCCCCCTGTAGAGGGACAGGCTCGATTTGAGACGACCCTGACGGCGTGACGGCGCCGCGGCTGCAGTCAGCAAGAAGGCCCGCAGCGGCACGCCCACTGACCCGCACGCGCGCGGCCAGGGGCCCCCGGGAGCCCACGAGAGCGGGCGGGCGGCGCGGAGCCGACGGCGCGGAGCCAGCGGCGAAGAGGAGGAGGAGGAGGAGGAGGAGGAGGAGGAGGAGGAGGAGGAGGACAGGGGAGGAAGAGGAGGACCAGGAGCAGGAGTAGGAGGAGGAGGGGGAGGAGGAGGAGGAGGAAGGAGAGAGGAAAGGAAGGAGGAGGAGGAAGAGAGGAGGAGGAGAGGAGGAAGGAGGAGGAGGGAAGGGAGGAGGAGAAGAGGGGGGAGGGGGAGAGAAAGGGGGGGGAAGGCTAGGAGGAGGAGGAGGAGGAGGAGGTAGGCAGGGAGGTAAAGGAGGAGGAGGAAGGAGGAAGGAAGGAGGAGGAGGCGTAAGAGGAGATGCGGAGGAGGAAGGAGGACAAGGGGGGAGGAGGGGTGGGGGAGGGGATCGGAAGGAGTCGGCGGGAAGCGCGGCGGCTTGCTCTTCTGCGGGTCGCGCCTCGTCTGCTTCGGCGCTACGGCTTTCTGCTTCGTCTTCTTCTGTCTTTGTCTGGTTCCGTCTGCGGCTCGTCCGCGTGGTTCGTTTCTTCTGCTTTTTAATTGCTTCGTTCGCTGCTGCGGTGCGTGCTCTTGTCTTCTGCGTGCGCGGCTGTCTTCGTCTTCGTGCTGCTGCTTTTCCTGCGCCGTCTTCGTGCTCGACGTTATCCGCTTTCTTCTTCTCTGCGTCTGGCTCCTTGGGCTTCTTCTTGTGCTTCTTTTCTCTTCTCTCCTTATCTCTGCCGTCCCCGCCCGCCGCCACCTGCGCCGTCGCGGCCGGCGGCTGCTTCGTCGTGTGTGGGTGCGTCGTGCCCAGGTTCCTGCGGGTGAAGTGCTTCTTCGTCGGGCTTGTCCCCCTTTTCTTCGTCTGCTGTCTTATTCATTTTTTTCCTTAACCCGGCTTTGACTTTCTGGCACTATTCTCTTTCTTCCTTCCTTCTCTCCTCGGCGTCCGCTTTGTCCGTCTTTCGGTCGTCCTCGTCTTCTCTGCGTCGGGAGCACGGCGGTCCACGACCCAGCCCCGCCCCCGTTGCGCCCCCGTAGACTGATGCACGCAGCCGCATGACTGCATGTGCGCGCCAGCTACCACACGCCCACAAAGTGGGATTCACGAGGGGCCACCGACGAAGCGAGAGCGGCGAGCGGGCCAGGGGACCCCAGGCAGGACCGACGGAGGACCGAGGGCAAGCCGAAGGGCCGAGGGCCGCGAGGAGGAGAACGAACAAAGGAGCGGGGGCCAGCACGACATCGAAAGGCTCTCGGCTGCGATGCAATCGCCTACCAGTGGCTACCGCTGGAAGGACGGCCTTCACTGGCCGACAGCGGGACAGCTATCAGGGGAGACCAAGCTGCCCGCCCGCGGCACCATCCTTCCTGAAAAGAGGGGGCGGGGCAAAGAAGCAGAGGGCGGGGACAGGGAAAAGGGAAGTGAGCAAGGTCGCAACGCCGCTCACTTGCAACTCAACCTTAGATGGACATCTGGAGGTAGAAGCAGGGCCCAATAACGAACAGCTGGTCGTCAGCCGTCAGGGTTGGGATGCAAGAACCTGCTGGAGACACTGGGGGTTGGCTGAAGTGGAACAGTCTGCACAGTCACCTGCATACTGCGGACCTGCATGCTACGCTGATAGAATTCATTCCTTGAAATAGAGAAGGGAGGGTCCTCCGTGTTGCCCTGGTGCAGCAAGATGCTTCGCCGCCCGTTGGAATATCTTAGAATGGGATGTGAGTATTTCTGCTGCAATCTGAATAATGCACTGCCCAAGAGCCTGCCACTACAAACCATTTCGGCCATCCCTTCAAAGCCGTTGACTTCGATGAGCTTGAGGGGCGGCAAGCTCAAAACTCTTTGTCGCTGTCGGATCCCACCTTCTTCTCCTCCGCCGTCCTGTCGTCCTGCAGTCCGAGCTGCTTCATCAGCCGCTCCGCCTCGCGCTCCAGCGCTCCGCGAGGTGCTCCGCCCGCGCGGTACTCTCCCCCCTCGTGATGGATGGCCCTGCACATCGCCTGGTGCAGGGGGGGATGGTATCCTGCGAGCCGCCGTCCTTGATCGGGTTGGCCTGCGCATTGGGGCTCATCGTGAACTGAAGTTTGAACCTGGTCGGTTTGTCTCCTTTCTTGCGATCGTACCAGCACGCCTTCACCCTGGGAAACCGAATCTGTTCTTGGAGGTGGGTCAGTGCTTCCTCCTTGGGGAGTTTCGTCACGTACTTCCAGTATGTCTTCATCGCCTTGAATGCCATGGGGCCCATCCCGTCCTGCGTGATGAAGTGGTGGAGGAGGCCGAGAAAGACGAGCGGCCACGGCGGGCCGTTCCCGTGGTCCTCCCCCTTCTCCTTGCAGTCCTTGGCGTAGGCCTTGCCCGACTCCTGCATATGCTTGATGAGCGGCGCGCTTTCTGGAAGCAGAAAGCACGTGAAGCACGCGCCTGTCAAGTCTGCGAGCTCTCTGGCGTTCGAGAGACTGAGCTTGGTCAGT